GAGAGTATGAAGGTTTGATTGGAAAGAGTCAGAAAATAAGCATGGAGGACTTCTCAAATAGTTGGGCATTCAGGTAGACTGCCATGCAAAAGGATTTGTAAATCTATTTTGTTAAAGCAAGTCATTTTTATGCAACACATAAAATACATTTTTCCAAGAAGGTTTAGCCTTTGTAACTAATTTTTTCTAAAGATTTTCTAAACTAAAGATTTTCAGAATAATTATAAATCTAGCAGGATAGAGAAAGCACAGAAAATAGGTAATTAGATTGATCAGATTAGTATGCAAAGCCATTTAGCAAAGAGGGTGTGAGGAGAGTGGCAAACTAGTATACTTTAGATCTTTTTTTCTGAACCAGGGAAAATCTGATCATGTTTCTCCACAAATATATTATAAAAAACTTTATTTTATATAGCACCTTTAAAAGTAGCATCTGAAAGCAATACAGTAGGTATAAAAACAGTTATAAGGACCAAAGATTACAAAGTAAATACATATGAGAAAGCAGTTAGAAGTGCTACCAAAATTTGAAAATGAAGCAGATACAGACACTAAGTTTTCTGATAATAAGGGTTTTGAGGTAAGATTTAAATTCACTCAGGGCAGGTGACTCTGATATCACTGGGAATACAAATCCAGAGCTCTGGGGTGCAGTTAGAGAAGGCCCTGCCACCCACAGAATGTAGACGTTCTTCAGGACAGCTAGAAGACCAAAGTTAGACGGACAAAGGTTGCAAGGTGTGGAGTAGACAGATAATAAACCAGATAGGTACTGAATGAGGATTTTGAAGTTAACTGGAAACCTGATAGGAAGCCAGCGCAAGGACTTGAAGAGAGGCATAATGCAACCCGATCAGGATTCTGGCTGTCAAATTCTGAACATATTGGAGATTGCTCAGTGTAGATTTAACTACCCCAGTGAACTGGATGTGCATTTATTCATTTTAGAAAAAAAGCCTCTTGATTTCTCTAGTTCCCTTTAAAACAAACTAAATCAGTGTGATATTCCACAATGCAGAGTACTACATGGCCAGTAATTTCATACTGTATGATATTTGTGATTTAAACAAATTAACACAAGCAGTTTTTGAGGATTTAAGTGTTGGTTGAGTTACTGCAAGATGTAAGACTAGAGATGTAGGTAGGAAAAAGATCATTTTGGGAATGTTGAGGAATACACTGATAACAAAAACACTTCCTAAAAGGGTTAGGCATACTCTTGACAAAATGACAGTAGATGCTATAAGCTGCAGAGGAAGATGATGAAGTTAACAGACTGTATGTTTACAAAGATACTGAAATGAGGATTGTATTTTAGATTTTGTGTAGTTGCAAGCATTGAATTGTGTGTTGGATGCACATGAATTGAAGGAATGGGCAAACATAGCTGATGTTGATCCACAGAAGCAGCATCTTAAGATGTTTATATTTGGAGGCAATTTGTTTAAAAAACTAACTAGGTATGGATACTGATGTCCAAGAGAGGTGGAAAAGCGGAAGAGATGGAAAGGCTGTTTCCTTAAGCCAGCACTATAAAATAATTTATCCTCAGTGAGATGCTGCCATCTCATAGTGGATTTCTAACACTACAGAAAAATCCACACAGTGCCTTTACTTCCATCCATTTATTAATCTCCTTATCCAGTACAGAGGATTTGGAGCCTATCCCTACAAGCAAGGGACGCAAGGCAGAATACACCCTGGACATAGCACCAGTCCATCACAGGACAGACAAACAGACACAAACACACCAGGGCCAGTTTTCCCGTAAGCGAATTAACCTACTAGTATGTTTTGGACTGCGAGAGGAAATTATATCATACATTTGAAGAAAACCCACAGAACCCAGAGAGAACACGCAATCTCCACACACACAGGAATTTAGCCTAGGGCCCCTGTAAGATAGCAACGCTAACCACTTCGCCACCATTAGAAATGGATAGATAGCTTAGTTATCTTTCTAGTTCACAGATTTGCATGCATAATTTAATTTTGAAAGCCACTGAGACATCTGGTACTACTGTTGTATTAATAAAATAAAACATACAAAAAGCATGCAAACAACTGTGCCATCCCATTCCTTAGTTCCGTGGTTCTCAAGCTATGGTACGTGGAGCACCCCCAGATGGTACACCAGATGACCCTGGAAATTTGTTGTGTGCACTGAAAAATTGGGAAGGGTTTTCATATTTTCTATTTTAATAAAATTATTTTATGTGTGAAATATACAGCCTATGTAACACGATATAGCGTGCACTTATACTTGAGTGGACACAAGAGCTACTATGTAATTCTATACCACTGTATAGGAATGTGTGCTATATGTGCTAATGTGAGCAAATAGGGAGGTAGGAGAATGTGCGTGATTTGGGAACAATGCCAATTTTGTAAGCACAGGAAAGCATAGAAAAGTGTGCTACGAACGTAAGTGATCAATTGTATTTTTTTTTAAAGTTATCTTCAGCAAATAGGGAGGTAGGAGAATGTGCATGGTTTTGGAACACTGGCAATCTTGTGAGCATAGGACAGCGTGATAGATAAAAACATTTAAGAACTGTTCTAGGTTAATTTGAGTAAAATATACAGAGCGTCCTAAAAACATCTTTTAACTTCTGAGACGGACCCCTGAAACGGAAAACAGGGAAAAATGCAAGCTTGCGGATTGCTAAAGCAGGTAAGCCCAACGTTATTTCTGAAGAACTTTGTTTACTGTTGGCAAAAGAGCTGACACGTATTATGTGTGGAGAAAAAGCTGCTAAACAGCTCGACATCCTTCCCCCTTCAAAAGACAAAGTAACTCGTAGAATTATTGATGTGACAGATGTCAAAAGTACGCAGTTACCAATGAGAGTGCTTTAAGATGAGCAGATGCTTTTCACTGCAATTTGATGACTCTGTAGATGCCTTTGATTTGGCCAATTTGCTCGTTTACATTAGACACAAGTTTGAGGGTATGTCCCATGAGGACATCTGCTCTGTAAGCCGCTACCAACAAGAACTACAGGAGAGCACATACTGTATTTCAGCTGCTAAATTAATTTATTGAAGAGAATGGCATCGACTGGATAAAATGCATCAGAGTTTGTACAGACGGTGCTAGAGCAATGACAAGCCAACACAGTGGTGTAGTTGCATGAATTAGAGAGGTTGCTCTAGATATGAAGTGGACGCACTGCAGCATCCACCGCGAAGCCTTTGCCATCAAGAAAATGCCTGAGAATTTAAAATCTGTTAGACTCTGTTGTCAAAGTTGTGAATTGTATCGAGGCTTGACCAATGAATTCACATCTGCTTTGCTCAACTAAACAGGCTCACCCCTCTCACTGAAATGGTGCTTTTTTATTGTATATTTTTAATTGTTGTTGTTCCTGTTGTCATTCTGTAAAGCGCTTTAAGAAGCCACCTTTAAAGGTGCTATATCAAATAAAGTTCATTATTATAATATTTATTATATGTATGTGTGAGAATGTTGGTCATTGAGATTTTCTGGGGTTCCTATGAGAAGATGACTTTTAAGTGGTACTTGGATGCTTTGGTTTGATCAGGGGTGGTACTTGGTCCAAAAAGTTTAAGAACCACTGCCTTAGTTAATACATTTTACCCTATTTTTCCTTTAATTTTGTATTTCACTTATTTTCTGATAGTCAGATTTAATGTATATTTGAACAATGAAAATGTGTTTTTACAAGATGGGGGGAAAAGTGCAGTATTACAGTACTAAATTAAATATTTTTATTACTAACAGTTTATGCTAACACCCCACTTTCTTATTTAGATGTATTCAAAACAATCAACTCAGTGTGACATAACATTCAGGAATACAATCTAGAATAGTTTTGTGGTGTTTGTAATTATTTCAAAAGCGTTGCCCGTTACTAACTGCTACTGGAAAACCAATAGTCTATATTGTTAAAGAATAAAATACATTACGAACACTTTATAACTAATGTACTACCTGTAAACCATTATATAAAAAACGACAGACATCACATCTTAGAATACTAGAGAATGGTGAGAAGGTCATTGTGCAAAACCTAAGAAGGTCCTTCTCTGTACAGACCAAATGGTGAATGGGTCAGGTCTTGGCTTTTCAAAAATGCGAAAGTAGCAGAAATGTTTGCTCAAATTTTGAACAAATAATAACTAACGTAAATGTAAGCTCTTGGCGCTATAAAGCGTAATATTGTACATCTTTAAAATTCAACGCTAAATTATATTTTTTATACGTTAGTGGAAAACATCTCTTCAAACAAGTTTTTAGCTTTGGTTTGATCTGTTACACAGTTAACCATTACCTTTAACTTGCCAGAATAGCTTCAAGACCGGAGGAAACATGAGAACATACATGAGAACAAAACCCGTAAGAAAACAGAGCTAAAAACATACTAAACAAATTATTTTACCACCTTTGTATACACAGAGAAATGAGCGAATGATTACGACACTTGACACTAATAAAGCAGAATACTGCATTTTTAAACAAATCACAAAAAATCTCTTGTTCGTTAATACACTCACCCTTGTGTTACCTATTGCTTTGCAAATATCTTACGCACCTTCATAGTCTATCAAAGTTGTGATATATACACATTTAACATACATTTACAACTACCTGAATCCACGTCTAATCATCTATAAATCCGCTGTTGTATTGGGCCTATATCCAAACCAATCAATCAAGAGTTAAGAGTTGAGAGAGACAGCGAGCACAAGTGTTTCAAGGCTTTCTCTGTGCAAGAGTGAACTTCCCGGTTGTTTAAGCACCAAAAACCCTGGGCTAAATTTGTCTGATCTCCGTAAAAGACAAATTTGACATTTCAATAGCGCCAGAAAGAGAGACAAAGCCTTCAGTGTCTCCGAGTACAGCCACATAGTAAATACCTCTCGTTTTTTTCGAGCGCTTGAAACAGTTACGCGTTTTAACATAAAAAAGAAAACCTCTTCGCTGGAATTTTGATGCAAATAAAATAAACATTTTAGCTCAGATTTAACACTCTTACCTTAAAGGGCGCCGTCTGTATCAACTAATGTCTTCGGATAAGGTTTTTTTCCCCAGTGCCTTGGCGTGAGGATCTTTTTTTGTTGTTATGTTGTCACTCCATAGTTATGAGTGAACTAATTAAACTCATTATCCAGGTAGAGATGAGGTTATTTTACCGTTGATGCATCCCCACTTAAGTATACTAAAAAAAGATCAGGGTGAAGAATAACAGAAGGAATAATTTAGAGATGAATTATTGTACCAGGCTACCACGTTCGGCAGATTAAAGGCAGCGTCAGCGTTATTCAGAATACAAACAATACGTGCACCATTTACAGATAACGCAGGGTTAAAAAAAACATTACACAAATTCATTTTTACCGATTTGATTTTCAGATAAAATAACCCCGACTGAATCCTGGTTACAACAACCGCCTGAAACACAGAAACAATAAGGTTGTGGAGATTATTTTCTGGGAATGAGATCCCGACCAACAAGACTCTTGTTCAAATTGACTCAGAGGTGATAAACGTGTCAGATCAGAGATTGAAATAAGGAGCGCAGTCTTTCCTTACCCCTCCTCTGCAGGGGAGCCTAGAAGCTGATAATCAAATTATGCAACGGTAGCACCAACGGTAGATAAACAACACTTAATTAAATATAATACTTATACATTATATATTACACGTCTTTTCAGTGGCTTCACGCGTACTTGTCCCATTTGCTTGCATTAAGTGATCTATTCGTCCTAAACCAAATTCCTTTACGTTTTTCTCAAGATTAAAGTTTCGAATTCTTAGTTTCTTACAAATAATTTGATTTTATAAAATTACCTGCGCACAAATTCAGTTTTACGAGTTCTATAGTTTTACACTCCTTTACAGATTACCGGTAAGATTGATGTCTTAAACGGTGAAATAGTTTCGAACAATATAGTCATTTGAAAACATTATTTCATGTTCACCTTAAACAGCTGTTTACAGGTTAAAATAAGAGTGAAATTATTTAGTGTCCAAAAGAAACATGCTTCCGGCCGAGTTCTTGACGTGAAGTTGTCCAAGGTACTGCAATGTGATGCTCCTGGCTGAGATCAAGCTGTTATTAAAACAAACCCCTGCCATCTGTGCACCAACGTACAGTGCGAACAAACTGCAGATATGCCGTTTGACAGCAAAAAATGGTGTTAAACAAAAACAAGGAAAAAGCGCAGTAGGAGCAATATGGAGGAGCAATACGCACGAACACGCAGATAAGGGTCTGTGGACGTTACCAATAGTATACAATGATTGTAGCGCTCTCTGGTTCACGTGGGCATGCGCCCCCCACCGCTGGGGACTCGAACTGTTGGCGTCACTCAACAGGGACCAGACCAGCTGAGCTAAAGGGAGATCTCCTATCTTCCCGGTTGAGGTGTCTGCTATTCACAGGGAAGGCAACCTGTAATGTCGGCCGTATGCGTTACACTATACTATTGTTTACTTAGAAAAAAATGTAATTTTTCATTGTTACAATGTCATTGTTGTATATAATGTCATGTTAATCAATCCTCTAAAATACAAAGGAATTCCAAATTATTGAATTTGATCATTTATATCTGCGAAATTGTATATTTATATTGACACTGCCATCTTTGATAACTCACAGTATGTTTTACACGTTAATCCTTCTGCTAAATCTTGAGTTTGACCCTTCACTTTCAAAACATTTAACCTTTATGAGCACAACAGATAATTTGGTCATTAAATGTTTATCATTCAGTCAAAGGGTATAGCTAAACTCAGTCTGAGCTACATTCTTGTTTCATGTGGTTACATGTACGTTTCTTAAGGAAATACAAAACATTATTGGAAAAAAAGCAGCAATTGATGAAAACTGTTTTAACTTCTGACCTGTACTGCTGGACCTCCTACTGTACATAACACAAATTACACAAAAATAACCAATGTGTAATTTAAATTAATATTCAAATACTGAATAAAAAAAGTTCAATAAGGTCAATAGAATTCTCATATTTAAGCTAGTGTGATGCCTAATTTTAATTACCTAAAGTGAAATCGTAATGTCATTAGTCTGCATCATGCAGAATCAGGCTTCTTGACTGAATTGAAGAGAGGAGAAAGGTCTGTGAAAAAAAAAA